GACCGGGTGGGGTGGCTCACCCCTGTAATCCCAGTACTTTGGGAGGCTGAGGTGGGTGGATCTCTTGAGGCCAGGAGTTCAAGAACAGCCTGGCCAACATAAAGAAACCCCATCTCTACCAAAAATACAAAGATTAGCCAAGCTTGGTGGCACATGCCTGTAATCCCAGCAACTCTGGTGGCTGAGGCAGGAGAATAGCTTGAACCCAGGAGGGAGCTTGCGATGAACCAAGATTGGGCCACTGCACTCTAGTCTGGGTGACAGAACAAGGCTCTGTCTCAAAAAAAACCTACCAACAAGCCAAACAAACAAACAACAAAAAAAGGAAAAAAAAAAAAAAAGCAGTTTCAGCTTTGTTTTTTCAGTTCTTTTTACCCTTAGACTATATCCCACTAAATATATACAGACAAATTGCAGTATTTTGAGGTAACTTAAAGTAGTTCCTCCTGTGCAGTTATACTTAATAACTGGATAGACATTTATTCATTTGCTTATTTGTCTCATTTTGAATCAAATTTTCTAGGGGTTTCAACTGAGTTAATTTTGCTTTGTAATTATGCAAAATAATTTCATGGTTTCAAAATTATGAATTAAACAGGTATCTGCGGAAAATCCATCTTCTATCTTTCTCGTTTTCAATTTGTTTTCATCCTCGCTTATACATAACTGTCTTAGACCACGTTCCATAGAAGCAGCTCCTAAGATAGAAATTTATGTGCTTGTAATTTAAGGAAGTATTTTAGGAGAAAGTGAGTGTGACATACAGAACAAGGGAAAGGAAGGCAAAAATATGGTTTCGCCTAGAATATACGTGTTGTCTTGGTGTAGGGAGCTCTCGAGAGAGAAATGCATCGTAATTAGCAGCACCTTGAAAGAAGGGTGGTAGCTCTTATACTCCAGAATCATTTATGGTGAGGTGCTTACTAAGGGGACAAAATTCCCCAGGCAGCAGGCTGCCATTTCACTTGGGTTTACTCTGTGGAAAAGAGAACTGTGAACTCTTAGCAGTCACAATTATAGCATCTGGATGCACCAGCCTTATACATGGAATCTGGTGCATCACAACAGAATTCACTGCAGTAATTTATTGAAGTGTGTCATTTGATTGTAAAGGCAAACCTTTTATTCACTTTACTTTTTTTTTTCTTTTTCACAAATTGAAGATTTGTGGTAACCCTGAGTCTAACAAGTCTATTAGGGCCATTTCTGCAAAAACACATGCTTACTTCATCTCTGTGTGACATTTGGCAATTCTCACAACATTTCAAACTTTTTCATTATTACAATATGTGTTATGGTGTGGTCTTTGATGTTGTTATTGTAATTGTTCAGGGGCACCATGAACCACGCTCATGTATGAACTGGCTACTCCCTGTCTGTCTCTTTTTGTTGGGACCACTCTATTTGTTGAGGCATAGCAATATTAAAATTAGGCCAATTAAGTGTTCTAGACAAAAATAGGGTCACACTTTGCCATTTTAAGTCAAAAGCTAGAAATGATAAGGCTTAATGAGGAAGGCATAGTCAAAGCTGAGATAAGTCAAAAGGTAGAGCTCTTGAACTAAAGAGTTTGCCAAGCTGTGAAGGCAAAGGAAAAGTTCTTGAAGAAAATTAAAAGTGCCACTCCAGTGAACATATGAATGATAAGAAAGTGAAACAGGCTTCTTGCCAATATAGAGAAAGTTCAACTGGCGTAGATGGAAAATCAAACCAGCTACGATATTCTTTTAAGCCAAAGCCTAATGCAGACTAAGGAACTAATTCTCTTCAAATCTATGAAGTCTGAAAAGGGTAAGAAAACTGCAGTAGAAACGTTGATAGCTAGCAGAGGTTGTTCGTACGGTTTAAGAAAAGAAGTCATCGCCATAATATAAAAATGCATGGCAAAACAGTAAATGCTGATGGAGACGCTGTAGCGAGTTATCCAGGCGGTCTAGCTGAGACAACTGCGGAAAGTGGCTACACTAAACAACAACTTTTCAATGTAGTCAAAACAGCCTTATCTTGGAAGAGTGTAACAGGTAGAACTTTCATAGCTAGATTGTTGAAATGACAACAAAAGATTTAGAATATTCCATAAACTTAACTGATCAAGCGGTGGCAGGGCTTGAGGGTATTGACTCCAATTTTAAAAAGACTTCTGTGAGTTAAATACTATCAAATAGCATAGCATGCTACAGGAAAATCTTTTGTGAAAGAATCAACTGATGCAGCAAACTTGACCCTTGTTTTATTATAAGAAATTGCCACAGCCACCCAACTTCAGTCGTCACCACTCTGATCAGTCACATCAAGATGAAGGTAAGACCCTCTACCGGTAAAAATAGTATGATTTGTTAAAGGCTCAGATGATAGCATTTTTTAGCAATACAATATTTTAACTAATGTAAGTATATTTTTAGACAAAATGCTATTGCATACTTAATACACTACAGCCTTTTGTGTAAGTGAAACGGGGATAGTTGCCTTGACCCCTTTGCAGGACTCATGAAGGGGTGACTCCCTTACTCAGCCCATAGCTCTCAACCCCTTGCTGGAGGGAGAGCATGCAGATGAGCGGGTGCAGAGGGCAGGATGGGTGCTTCTGGGCAACTGGCAGGAACAGAACTCGACAGGCCTGAAGCAGCATCTACAGGTTGCCAGTTACTCCCAGAGCCCCAGAGGGCATGTGTTAGAGTGCTTCTTCTCTTCTCTCCTTCTCTGCTGCTCCACTGCTCTGCGGCTTTGCCGCCTGTGGAGCCTGGGGTTTTTATGGATACAGGTTGGGGGACTTGGCAGGCCAGGGTGGTTTTGGAAAAGGCAACATTCGGTGGGAAAACAGAAATGCTCTTTGGGCTGGGGGTCTAGGCTTGAGTGTGAGGCTTCACCAGGGACCCTCTCTTTTCTGCCTAGTATTTCCCTGCCTCCTATACAAATTATTTGCATAACTTTTAAATGTACTAGGAAACAAAAATATGTGTGTCACTTTCTATTGCAATATTCATTTTATTGCAATAGTCTGGGATTGAACCAGCAGTATCTTCAAGGTATTCCTGTAACTTTCAATGTAAATGTTTTATAGTCACTCTATGGAGGATGGAAAGGACACACTCCCAATGGAATAGTTCGAATGTCACGAAGACTGATGACACCACATCCACTAACAGCATAGGGAAATATTTGTAACTCATGCCATAGGGTTTTCTAGAGTGAGCAGAGTTGGTACAGGCTGGTCCAGGTGGCAAGAGTAAATAAAGCAAGACTGGAAATAAGAATGTGGTTGAAAGGTGGGCCAGGGTGCACATTTCCACTTGACGGATGGGGTCTGCATGGTTAAAACTTCCCACTGACCTTAAGGTAAGGTCATGCCTGTTTATTTTATTTTAAATCAGATTCCCAAATGTGATGAAAAAGGGGGAGAGGTATTAGTTTGAAAGCTATCTTTACTCAAACACTGAAACTGAAGTCTTCCTCTTTAATACAAGGATTTGTGGCCAATACAGGTGATTTTAATTTAGTCTTGTGAAAGTTGTCAGAATTAAAATGGAGTCACTTGAGTTAAAAACCCTGACAAATCAAGCCTATGAATGCCATGAAGAGAAGGGTCTCATGCACAAATTCTTGATAACAAAAACTATCACAAAAGACTGCAAAAACCACAGCCTTGTACAAAGACCATCACAACCTTACACAAAATAATACTTCTGCAAGGACATCTGCTCAGCAGCTGTCTGTCCAGCTTCACACTGGCATCACCCTTGTTATTGATCCTTGTAGCCAAGGATAGTTATCTCAAAACAATTATGTAATCCTCTCTATATTTCCTCTAAAAACCTTTGTCTTCCTTTACCTTCTTGAATATGCACGTAGTTTATTACGGCACACATATTTCCCTTGCAATACCTCTTCCCTAATAAGTGTTATTTTCTTTAGAGAGTCTTCCTCTCTGTTGTTTAAGTTGAAAGCCTGTAAACCTACTTGAAGACTGGCTTATAATTATAAATTCCCAGGATAGATATTTTTGCTCTTAATTCAGTACCAAAGTTGAAGGAAGTGAGTTTCTTTGGTGTCCCCTCTACATGATCTATTTACTTCTTTCTGCCTTACACAGATGGTATGACCTTTTGGGATTCCATCTTTATACATAAATCTTTTACAACACTGTTTTCCTAATGTGGGCCCTAAACTTTAACCCCAATGGCCCATTGGTACTCTGGGAAGCCAACCAAATATAAGCTCCAAGCCATCACTGGCCTATAGATACCTTCACTTCTACCCCAGGATTCCTACTTTAAGTTTATTTTGGCCTCTAAAAGTTCTGTATTTCCTTGTAGCTCTACTATGTATACATAATGTGTATGTCTGTGTGCATGTGTGTTTGTGTGAGTTTTAACACTTTTAATGTTTTCATTTTGTTTGTTTTGTTTTGTTTTTAGCAAAAGGACTATTCAGGGTGTCTTGATGGTCATTCTCAAAAAACAAAGTTTTGTTATCTTTTTGTACACTCTAAACTAATTTAAATAAAATGAAAATACATAAGTTCTTAATAACAGTAGAAGTCACCAATTAAACCATATGAACAATGTGGTTTTTGGTAATAGTTCCTAACTTAGTTCAATTTCTTCTTTCTCCAATTTGGTAGTTAGCATTTTTCTAAGACATTTTTTATTTAATTGTTGTTTTTCAGTTTTTAATATTATATAGTATTAAAATGTTAATATTCTCTATTTCTATGTAATTTATTTTAATTCCTGAAATTATGTGTACCTGTATATTTTTGTCCTGATTATATTTGCAAAAGCATTTTTGCTTTATTATTTTTATTTCATTACATTCTCCTTATACATTTTTCATATTTTAATGTAAAATGAAAAATCCCTATGAAATAACCTTGTTTTTTTTAATATCTAGTACTAAATTTCTATTGCTTTTATACCAAAAGTATTTTTTGGCTGGATATAGAAGATTTAAGACACAATCTTTACTATCACTCTCAAAACTGTAAAATTCTCAATCATCTTTTTTTTTTTTTAGCATTTTGCATATTTGAGGAAGAAGAAATTTTGGAGACATTCTATCCTAAAACGGTAAAGAAGTAATTGACCTGTTGTAGTTTGTTAATTTCTTTTTTACTCAACATAAACTAGGTGAAATGTGTTATCGTAACAATAGACATATAGATTGAAAAGAAAGCAAAAGATCAGCACAGTTCCCAACAGGAGTTGAGTAGACCACCTACGGTAACACTGCAATGTCTATTGCCTTCCAAACTGCTGGATCACCCACTATTTTTCAAACGTAATACTATATTCGGTAAAGATCAAAATGAGATATGATATTTGCCCTTAATCAACTTGTATTTTAATTGCAATGTCAATTGCAATATGAAGACATGAGTGACTGAGAATGTAAAATAAACTGTCAAATTATTTGCTAATGAATGTGAAAGGATGTCAATTCATGGCTGAAAATATTTAAGTTTAGGATAAATCACAATTTCTCCTTAAGTTGACAGAAAGGTTGCTAACACCTAGTAAAGTTGATTCTAATCTCATTCAGGGCTGTGTTCATTTTTCTGCTCTGTTCCTCTATTGAGGTCTGCATTTCTTGTCCATATGTGACTCTTAGAAAATTCATTTAAAAACTATTTCCAGGCCCACTTGGAAAGTCAAGAGAGTTTTGTCTGTTTTATAAATGTGTGATTAAATTTACTTCACATTAATAAAATACCATTTTCAGAGCTGGGATGTTCCCTGAGCTTCACAGAGTCAATGAATATACTTATAAGAGGAGATATCATCTTTATGAATTAAATTAAGTGATGAAAGATAGTTGCCTGTCCTGTTTTATTTCTAAATTATTTTCCTACTATTCAATTTCTTTTCTTGAATTATATTTATACTAGTAGCTTGGAAAATCATCATCCACTCACTACATACATTTCCGTGTAACTGTTATTATTACAAATCATTTATTTACTTTTTGATTCACTTTTCTTCCACGAAATGTATTAAAAACCAAATGAAGAGGAACTGTTAATAAGTAAGATAAATGAATTGAAAGGCCTTTGACTAAATTGAATAGAAAATCTTTTTTTCTGTCATTCTTGCCAAGATAATTTTTATATGCTGCTATCGAAACCAAAGACTGAAGTATGACTTTTTTTTTTAGAGAGTATTTTACCAAAGCCAAGTTATGATTACGTTTACAAGATTATTGCACATTGCATAGTACCTTCCTTGTCAGAGGAAATTCAATCTGTTGAAATCTAATGACATAAAAAACCAAGATGATTAATTTCTACCAACTCACTTTACTCAATTCGTAGAAGAATTTAAAAATTCAAGTTTTACCCTCTACCCAATCTGAGTAAATGCTTTGCCATTTGTAAGTCTTCTGATAAATCCAGCAAACTATCAAAGATGAACATCATCATTCAGTACTTTTTCAATCTTTTTTTTTCACTAGTACATGTAGATTACTATTTTTCTATTTTGAAATAAGAAATTGATGTGATGAAAATTTCATTTTTAAGTACTGGATGTTCTGTTAAGAGGTTTGGACCATATTTATATAAGTGTGTAAAACATTACTTAATGAGGAGTGAAATAACAGATTTTACTGTGCAAGTAGAACTCAATGACAAAGAGGGACAATAAAAGGTCTCTGGGATAGAATTCTTCTATATGTTCTATTCTGAGGTTACTGTAGTTCTCCAGTCATTACTTTAGGTGAAATAGATCAACCTGGGGAAGTTCTCAGCTTGTCAAATGATTTCGGAGAGTATAGCAAGGTTAAACTGAAGATCTGCTTAACTGATTCCCTGGCTTAGTTCCAGCATGTGCAATGATGCAGTTCTGAAGTGCAAAGTGCTTAATCATTAAGCTTACTCTGGAAGGAAAACACTTTACAAGTTTCACTACACAAGTATGATGTTGAATTCTCTTTGAATGCAAGGCTTTTCAACTCAAGGTGAATTTCCACTCTGTATTAATTTCTGGATGCTGGCTTTTGTAATTTTGCTGCCCATGTTATTAAATGTCCTTGAAGGATTTTGATGCACTTCTGAGCACCCACTATAGGCACTAAGAAACATACAAATAAGTAAGAGATTTCCAAAACTCAAGGAGGAATGAGAGACTGCCAAAATCACATAAACAGCATATGAAAAATTCCATGTAAATTGTACAAAGAAAAAAAAACACAAAAAGTTTTAACAGAGAAATTTTATTATCAAGAGGCACCAAGAATTTCTTTATAGATGATATGAAATTTAAGATAATGACAGGAAATGGGGATAAGGAAGCAGAAAAGGTGAAAAGTAGGATATGTTCCTTGGAGAGATAAGACTGAGCAAAAATCAGGTAGGCAGAAAGCTTTAGAGCGCAAGTGACAAACTACAAGCAGTCCAATATGGTTAGATCATAGAGGACTTGTGGAATTACATTTGAAAAATAGTTATAGATAATTCATAAGTGATGTTGGATATTAGTTTTGGTTGATATGTGTTAACCACTGAAGCTTTTTAAACAGGGAGTATCAAGCCAGAATGTGGGTAAGCATTTACTTAGCTGAGTAGTAAGGATGAATTGAGTTGGGAAGAGTTAGAAACCAGATTTATTTGTGGTTTATAGAAATAGTAGTAGCCCAAATTTGTCTAATAGTAAAAAATGAATTGAAGTTTGTGGCTTTCTAAGACAATGCAGAAATTGAAATTGTACAAATATGGGAGACAGAAAAACAAAGAAGAGAAGATTTGTAGGATGCCGTGGTTTGAATGTTTGTTTCCTCAAAAACTCATGTGGAAATTTAATCATCATTGTAGCACTATTAAAAGGTGTGACATTTAAGGGGTTATTAGGTCATGAGGACTCCAGCCTCATGGGTGCATTCAATGCCTTAATAAGAGAGTTTTTAGTTATGGGCTCCCTTTCTTTTTTCCCTCTTTTGTTCTGTCATGTTTTGACATAACAAGAAGATCCTTGCAAGACACCAGCACCTTGATATTTGACTTCCAGTCTCCAGAACTGTGAGTTAATAAGTTTCTTTTTATTATAAACTACCAGTCTGTATCCTATTATAGCAGTAACATAAGGACTAAAATATATGGGAAGGTGGTAAGACTTTTGAACATGTTAAATTTTAAATAAAAGCAGGTGAACATACCCAGGAAATAAGAGAGAGAAAAAGTTTAGTTCATGAGGAAGTTGTCAGAGCAAGTAATAAATATTGAGGAGCAATTGACTGAGGACTAGCCGTTGAAGCCTTTGATTTTGCATCAAAATGTGTTCTGCCCCTCCCATAACCTAAAGTAGATCCCCTTCTTAGTTTTTTTTAGTTATTTTCTTTTCTGTTTTATTTTTTTAAATGCATGATTACATTTATTTTGGTGTCTATTTGTTTGACATCGGTCTCCACAAGGAGACTATGTAACAGTTAAAAAAACATGAACCTTTCAGGCGCAGTGGCTCATGTCTTTAATTCCAGTGCTTTGGGAGGCCAAGGCGGGCAGTTCACTTGTGGTCAAGAGTTCGAGACCAGACTGGCCAACATGGTATAACCCTCCCTCTACTAAAAATACAAAACAAAACAAAAAATAGCATGGCATGGTGGCAGACACCTGTAATCCCAGCTACTCAGGAGGCTGAGGAAGGAGAATTGGTTGAACCTGGGAGGCAGTAGTTTCAATGAGCTGAGATCGTGACACTGCACACCAGCCTGGGTAACAGAGTGAGACTCTGTCTCAAAACAAACAAACAAACAAACAAACAAAAATGAACCACAGTTGATGTCTCAAATGAAAAAGATTTAATACAATAGTTTGTATTTGGGGGTGGGGTAAACAATAATGAAGTGACAACTTTATTTTAGCTGTCTTGATCCCTCTCATAACACCAGGAGACCATTGTCTCAGCTTCATTTTTTTTTTTAGAGACGCTCAGTGAACACTCCATAGATTTTTTCAATGTCTCCAAAAAACTTGCCTGCTTTGTCTTATTTTTTCACTCTCTCCTCATCTCTCACATCCCAATGCCCTTCAACTAAACTTGACTCTCCAGAGTGCCCAACGCGTGCCCTTCCTCACAGTCAGTTACTTTTCCCTAATGAAGTAATTTAATTAGTCTCCATCAACGTTTTCCAGTGAATTGCAAATTTAACATAAAGGACTAATCAAAGGGGTGTGTGTTGACATCCGGAACATATTGGTGTGTAGAGGTGAATGACCAGATAGTGGACATGGCTTACGTCATCTTTTGAGCTTGGGGAAAAAGATCCATTAACCAAGCCTCAGTTTTTATAAAAGCAACAAAGTATTAGAAAAAGTTCCAAGAGAAGAAGTGTTCCCAGGCTGGTGGGACTGAGAAGTAAGGCAGTTTTCCCTTGCCCAGCTATGCCTCTTGATTTCCATGTGGCAGAGAAGGGCTCCAGCTCCTTTTCTGCTGCTCCTGACTCCAGCAATCTCTGTGACTATCTGTGAATGATCCAGGGAAAAAAGATGAGCCCTTCTGCTCTTGGTGCTCTCCCTCTCTGAGTATTTAAATCTGTAATATTGTATTGTATTTTATGCTGAAATTTATTAGAGAATAGATATTACCACACATGAAAATGGTGACTATGGGCTGAGCACAATGACTCACGCCTGTAATTCCAGCACTTTGGGAGGCTAAAGTGGGAGGATAGCATAAGGCCAGGAGTTCAAGGCCAGCCTGGACAATAAAGTGAGATCCATCTCTACAAAGAATAAATTGAAAAATTAGCCAGGCATGGTGGCATGTGCCTGTAGTCTTAGTTACTTGGGAGGCTGAGGCTGGAGGATCTCTTGAGCTTAGGAGTTTGAGATGGTAGCAAGCTATGATCACACCACCGCACTCCAGCCTAGGCAACAGAGAAACTCTGCCTCTAAAACAAAAAATGGTAAATATGGAAAGTGATGGTTCTGTTAATTTGTTTGACTGTAGTAATTATTTGTACTATCTATATGTCTACTGAAACAGCATTTTGTACACCTTAAATCTAGACAATTAAAAAATCTGAATCAGGTTTTTTACTCTTTAAAGACTACTTGTATTTATGGAAAATCTGCCCCCCTCGGTTTTTGACCTCAATGAGAAACTCATGTTTCTCTTTAAAAAACTTAGTTCTGTCTTGGGTTTTTATGTACCAATCTCTTACCTTAACATGCTAAGAGAGCAGCATTTCCTCTACCCTATCCACATGGACTTATATTATAAATCATTTTACTTTGATTCCTCAAGGTCAAGTTGCTGTCAAAATATAAGAGTGGTCAAAAGCCTCAGTTTTTTCTCTTTCTTTTTTTTTTTTTTTTTTGACAAGAGGAACCTGAACAGTCTGCTGAAGCACCTGATGTTTGGCCTTTCTGAATGTCATGGAACATGTGTGAGTATATTTCTTTTTTGTTTGTTTGTTTGAGAGTTTTGCTCTTGTTACCCAGGCTGGAGTGCAATGGCACAATCTTGGTTCATTGCAACTTCTGCCTCCCAGGTTCAAGCAATTCTCCTGCCTCAGCCTCCCAAGTAGCTGGGATTATAAACATGTGCCACCATGCCCAGCTATTTTTTTGGATTTAATAGTGATGGGGTTTTACCATGTTGGTCAGGCTGGTCTCGAACTCCTGATCTCAGGTGATTCATCTACCTTGGCCTCCCAAAGTTCTGGGATTACAGGCATAAGCCACCCTGACTGACCCTTGTTAGTGTATTTTTAAACAATTGTTACATTAGAGAAAAACACACTTGCAAAGTCTATGTGATATAAAATGATCTTAATTTTTGTAATTTGATGCAATATTTGAATAGGATTACTGCAGGTTAAGGAATATGGGTTTTTAAAAAAAAGGAGAATGAAGTGTGAAGTGAAGAAATATGTAAGAAAAAAAAGTTAGAAGAAAGAAGAGAGGTTTCAAAGGGAAGGCAACCACAAAGTCAGGGGAGAAGAGTAAAGCAAAAAAAAAAAAAAAAAAAGAGTAAAAAATTTTATTCAAAACCTATATGAGCTCAGCTTTTGTCAGGCTTTTGGGGCTCATTTACAAATTCTAACTGTAGACAAACCTTGCCTGATTCTCATGCCCCTCAAAACTCTGAATACCATTTCTCAAGAATATATCAATCCTCAAAGCCAAACAGAGTAGACAAGGAGGTAAACACAAGAAACTGGCACATAACATGTCTCCCAGGAGGTACAAGGCAGAATGGTGAGCCTGATTGAAAAGAAAATTGGCATCACATAAAGAAGAAAATAAAAATAGCAGCATCCCAGCATGTACAAATAATTCATGCAAAACTTTGGATGTCTGTGTAAATCAAAGCTGTACATTTTTGTCATAAATTAAATCATACTATGCCTGCTATTTGTCACTAATATTTATACTTAAAATATATTATGAGAAAAAATGAATGAATAAGAAAAACGTACATATTAGATAGATAGATAGATAGATAGATAGATAGATAGATAGATAGATAGAGGTATATGAGTATCTTTCCATGCCAATAGATGTAGGATAGCATTAATTTATTAGTATCTTGTCTGGTTTAGGAAAATTTCAATAGATATTTGTTGAATACATTGATTTTAATAACCACTAAGAATTCCTTAAACAATATTATTTAACAAATTAATCATTGTTCGATATTTCAGTTTCATTTTTATTACTCATATCCCCTCTTATCTTCTTCCCCACCCTCCTTCCTTCTTCCATTTTTTCTTTCTTTCTTTCTTTCTTTCTTTCTTTCTTTCTTTCTTTCTTTCTTTCTTTTCTTTCTTTCTTTCTTTTCTTTCTTTCTTTTTTCTTTCTTTCTTTCTTTTTTCTTTCTCTCTCTTTTCTTTCTTTTTCTTCCTTCCTTCCTTTCTCTCTCTTTTTCTTTCTTTCCTTCCAGTTTTTAAATAATTCCATTTTAATTCTGTACTAGAAATAAAATTGTTGAATAAGATGGTATGCACATTTAAGTTTACTAGATTGGGCTTTAAAAAGTTTTTAATATTTTATATTCCATGTAAATTTATGAGACAACCCATTTGTCACCCTGGGCAGTATTTTTAATAATTTCTATATGTTACAATTTCAAGTATCAAAAATATTGTGTTGAAATTCTGTATTTCTTTGAGCCCAGTACTGGAACATTTTTTTGTTACTTTATTGGCTACTTGCATTTATTCCTTTATGAAATGCTGGTTTGTGTCCTTTGCAGAAAATGTGTAACTTTTGGTTGCCTGGCATTAATTTCTGTTTTCTGTAATCTTCCTGATTAACCTCTGTAGATTAGTCCTTTCTCTTATCAGGTAATAGTTTAATCAGCTGCTGAGCCCATTCCTATTCAAGGCTTAGACAAGTGAGTCAATCATAAACTCCTTGACTAAAATGTGAACCTGGAGCACACTAAAAAAGAGACCAATAAAATCATTGCAATTCATTCATTCTAGTCATGTCCTGCCCTCACTCTGCTTCTCTACCTCTTTCTCTTATTTCCACATCTGTGTAGCTCCCAGGTATCTCCATTTCAAACCTAGGTGCCTGGCATTCCCTTAGATTACATGACTACTCACAGTTTCTAGCGGTTGCCATCAGAGATTAATGGTTCAAATTTCTATCTTTTTTTTTTTTTTTGACGGAGTCTGTCTCTGTCACCCAGACTGGAGTGCAGTGGCATATCTCTGCTCAATGCAAGCTCCGCCTCCTGGGTTCACGCCATTCTCCTGCCTCAGTCTCCCAAGCAGCTGGGACTACAGGGGCCTGCCACCACACCCGACTGATTTTTTTTGTATTTTTAGTAGAGATGGGGTTTCACCATGTTGGCCGGGATGGTCTCAAACTCCTGACCTAGTGATCCACATGCCTCAGGCTCTCAAAGTGCTGGGATTACAGGTGTGAGCCACCGCACACAGCCAAAATTCTCTCTTTTATCCTATTAGGTTGTAGACCTTTAAAAATTATTGACTTATAAAGCTTATTTTATATTTAGACTTTTAAAGCTGTGGCACACATATTATTGAATATTGCTTTGCAATTTTTAATTTGTCCTTTATATTTTTAAGATTTCTGTCAAAAGAAAGTTATACAGTTTATATGTTTAAATATGCTAATCTCTTAAATTAGGAAACATTCCCTCCCAAAGATTACAAAATATGTTAAAATGAATCTTTAAAGTATATTTTCGTGATTGCTCTAGAGTACTTATTGTTAGATATCCGAAGTGAAAAGACAGAAGTAATCTCTTGAAATATGGGTGATCCTGTGGAGCTTAAAATGTAAACTTTTAGGGACATTGATCGATGCTATTATGCTATTTTCTTTAGTGTGTAAACATAGAAATGGAATTACTAATATTTTCTGAAATCCATTATAATGATCCCTCTGAGTGATATTTTACGTAATCCAAATTGGGCCTGAAATAAGCCTTGTCTACTGGATGTTATCTTATTTTTCATATTTAAAAGTCAGTTTTTAAAATCTCATGTCTAGAGTAGAATATTCCAAATGGAAGAAAATAATCATCTGAATTTCTTATTAAATAAAAAGACTAGCCTGCCTCTTTTCTGAATATTATAATAATGTAATTCTGAGCTGTTGTCCTGGAATCAGCATATTTTTAAAAACTCTTTAGGAAAGTATTGGTTTCGTTATTCATCTGTCATCACTACCACAGCCCCTGTCGTAGGAGTCAGGTAGTGAAGAGGAGGAATGTGGCTTTCAAGACATTTTTTTACTTTCCAGAGCACAACCCAGTATTGGCCCTTTTTCTAGCATTTTTAGGTTGAAAGCTGCAAATAACAGTCTCTAGTTTTTTGTTTTTGTTTTGTTTTCATCTTTTAGTAGCTTTGAGGATATACACAAACACAGTCTTAAAGGGCAGCAAGGGAAAAAGTGTTCTATTGCTCATTATAGAGATTCTTTAAGTGTGAAGCAAGATATTAAAATATTACCTGTTGGAATTTTTCTCTTTATTCTGCAATGGACCCTCCTTCCTGCCAGTGGCAACTCTGAAAGACATTATTCTTTGCCAAACAGGAAGACTTAGAAAAACATAATAACATCCTTGACTTTTGCTTTTCTTGACCTTTACAAGTTACAAGTTGATGGCGAACAGGCTGTAATCTCTCAGACATGGAGCTTCGTCTCCCACTACCTTAACTAGTTGAAATTAACATAGCCTGGGGGAAGCTAAAAAGTATTAATAGAACCCAGAGTATTACATGTTAGTTGATGACTCTGAAAATAAACCTGTGTTCTCCTCCCCACTAGCATTCTGCTGGGAAGTGGTGGAAAACAGATTTCCTCAATGTGTCTGGATTTTCTAAGCATTAGAAAGATAGCTACTCATCATATGTGTGAAGCCCTTGGAAATCACTGAATGGGAAAGGTGGCAATGATGGCAGGTGGGCTTGGCATAACCTCAGAATTCCAGTGTAGTTATATGCTTCCTGTGGCATAAGAGCAGCAATGAGGAGCTAAAAGATACTGAAATCTGGTGATATATATTTTTTATTTGTTGAAATAATATATATATATTTTATTTGTTCTGACCTCTCTCTCTCTCTCTCTCTCTCTCTCTCTCTCTCTCTCGCTCTCTCTCTCTCTCTCTATATATATATATATAGTCACTGTATATACAGGTAAATACACTGTAATTACCTACAAGGAACCACAATGATAGGATGGATGAAATTGAGTCTGTTCCAATGTGCACATCTTTGAGGATGATCATGAATAAAATCAGGAACTTCCTCCCTCCAAAACCCACCAGACCAATACTTAAACCAATACATCCCAGGAAATGTAGTCACATCCTCAAGCAGGAGGAAGAAGAGCCTTTAAATGAATGAAATTTCCCTGAATAGTTTCGAGTGAATTTTTCCTAATGGGTGGAATGAGAGACTTAAATAGATTTTTTTTTTCCAATTATAGAGACATCAGAGAAAGTTATATTTCACCAAACTGCTAAAACTATAGTTAATTATAATATTAAATTTTCTTGGGTGGAAAACAGATGTCCTTATATGCTAAAGAAATTTGAAAGGAGAGGATTGCATATTAGAATAAATATGTTATGTTTTGAATCTAGCGAAGATTTTCTGTGGAGCTTGCCACTCCACATTTTAAAATTCAAAAAAGGAAAAGTTTTGGTGGCATGTGACATCCAGGTAATTCCGGTCCTCTAGGAAATCTTCCTCAAGTAGCCATTCTGCCAACTCCTGGAGCTAAAGCGGTACTTAAATAAGCATCAGAGAATAAATAAATGCAGGGCATTATATGCACTACATTTTGCTGGATGCATATTAGTTATTTTGCTTTACTTATTTGCTTACTTTGAGTAAGAACTTACTAAACACAATGCAGTCAACCAATATAGAATCCTATCAGCACAAAAGAGTCTGATGCA